CAAGAGAAACAAAAAGCAGGAGCCATAAAAAGAAATGATAAATCAGTGTTTATTGAAATAAAAAAAAAGCTGACTCTTTAAGAGACCTTGTCAAGAAAATGAACAGGCCAGCCACAGAGCAGAGAATATGTTTACATTATATATATTTGACCAAAAGATTTGAATTTGAAATAGGTAGCTTTTATAATTTATAATTTTATGATTATTTTATAACTATTTATTTTAGAATTAAATTTATAATTTTAATACTTTTATAATTATTATATTATTATTTAATTATATGTAATTGTTATATGATTATTTTATTATTATATTACATAATTTTATAATTAAATGTATAATTTATATAAATTATGTAATTATAAATAAATTACTTTTATAATTTATAAAATAACATTTATAATTTAATAATATGAACAAAGCAATAAAAATAGATACTTTACTGAAGAAGATACAATAGCCTATGAGCACATGAAAAGATGTTTGATGTCATCAGGAAAATAAAAATTACAACCACAATAAGGGGCCACTATATATCCAGTAAAGTGGCTAAAATTTTTAACTCTAACAATATTAATTATTGAAAAGATATAAATAATTAAAATTCTCATACATTGCTAGAAGAAATGGAAAATGGTCTAATAATTGTGATAAAGAGTTTGTCAAATTTTTATATAGTCAATAAAAGGTACAATACCTATTAATAACAAAGAGACTAGCCCTGTAGTCACATATAATATCAAGTGGAAACTAGCTATAATGGTAGATGAGCAAACAATAACCAAGAAGGAGTGCTTAAAAGTATTTGAGTTAGCCAAATATCTTAAAGAGAAATGTGTGGTTTCATTCTTGTACCTCAAGAAATCAAACTGTTATAAGGCTTTACAAATTATAATACTAATAAAAAATGTTAAAAAGATGTAAAAATGCTAATAGACCAGGTCAATACATTATGACAAGAAGACATAGATAACACTGCTAACCAATGAAGACTTTAGAAATGCATCATTTTAAGAGAGACAACTGGTTGTAAAATTTAACCACAAAAAGTAGCCATTATTCTGATTTTCAATCTACTTGAAAGAAACAATTAAGTTCTAGTCTCCATCCCATAATCAAATGATTGCTAACCCCAATCCTATGACCTTGGTTTGAATAAAGTCATTTGTTTGTTTTTGTGTCTGTTTGTTTTTTTAGCACAAAAGATTACCACTTCTAGAAATGTTATTCAAGCATAGTATTAGTAAAACTTTAGGAAGATACAAAATTAAGGATAGTAATAACATTATACAACAACAAAAGAAATATTGAGACTATTAAACTCATTATTTTAGAATAAATTCAAAGGTATGCAAAATAATAAGTTTTATAGTCCTTGTATTTGTGTATATTTTATCTGCTATTTAAGATGTTTAGTTATCCTAAATGTGGAACTACTGTTTATCTTCTTAAAGTAAATTTACTTAACCAAATTTACCACTGATGTAAATATATGAGCTTAGTAATAAACTAATATTTGAATTTAATAAGCTAAAAATTAAACAAAGTGCAAATACTTTTGATTGTTCCTTTCCATACACGAAAGCCCTTACACAAGAAAAGACATTATAATCAACTACAAATATATAGAGCTAACTAATACATTCAGCTCAAAGTTAAACACCTAGTTCCTGGCACAGAGCCTGACATTAGTAAGAATTTGATACATATTTGTTAAATGAATATTACAAGGTAAACTGTGGCAAAGGAAATGAATTAGAGTTCTGGGTATACAAGCCATGACAGGACTTACAAATGTGTATTTTTCTTCTTTTTTCCTTTTTAGTAATCTTTATCCTACCACGGGATAAATGTGTGTTTTCTAATAGCAACACAGAAGCACGATGGATAGCAAAGAGAAGCTAAACTAGAATGTTCTCTTTTAAAAAAAAAGCACAATTTTACTAACTTATATTTGGAAAATTACTAATCAAATGTAATAAAAAATTGAGACAGTAGTTTTCTTTGGAAAGAAAAGAATCCTAATACCAAATCTAGTACTTGGTAAACTAGATTAGAATATACCTTTGCCACTACATTTAAAAAGCCAGCAAAGCACACTGCCATGTGTGTACCTATGCAACAATCTTGCATGTTCATCACATGTACCCCAAAACCTAAAATGCAATAAAAAAAAAAAAAAAAAAAAAAAAGCCAGTCACCATGACAGTGTTAAAATACGTATTGCAATGAAAAAGTGAGCTGGCTACATTTTTTTCACATACTTCTAAATTTGTTCCTTATTTTAGAAACCAGGAACAAGTATAGATCACAATGCGTTTAAAGGTTCCAATCTTTTTTCTTATATAATGACCTCTAGAGCAATGTTGTGTTAATTACTAACTCAACTACTTTGAAAAGAAAATACATTTCAAATATGTACAAGCATATGGTAGATATTGTATGTCAAACTTAGCTTTCAGAGATACAGTCTTGTATTTCAAAGAATATAAAATCTCACAGGGAGAAGACATAGTATTTCTGTATTATGTATAATCAACAAACATAAATCTTGAAAAATGCTATGTATCAATTAAAATATAAACACTAAATTAAGGTTTTAATTTTCCTAATACTCAGCTCACCAACAAAACTTGTTTTGCATAAGTTCAGACCTTTGACGCATCAGGAATTGTTAATACTTATCAGTATCACTGAACTTCGCTTTTTTTTTTTTTTTTTTGGAGCTGGTGAGTTTTGCTGAAAGGGATCCATAAAATCAATTCAGTACCTGTAAGAATGGTGACCATTCCACTTTGGTGAGCTATTTTGGTCAATGAAAATCTCTCAAGCATTGTCATTTGCTTTGGCCCCAGAATTACTCAACATTACCAAAGTTGTTGAAATTAAAATTTCCAGTATCTTTGTGTTTCCTGTCCACTTCTCTTTAGACTTGCTTAAATGCACTTCTTTTGCCTCAACAGGTAGCTTTTAGGAAGTTGTATGTTCAGGAAAACAAATATTTTATTAGATAAGAAGAGGCTTAAGTGAAATATTGTCAAATGCTAAGAAGGCCCATTTCATCATTATGATCAAGTCTCGTCTATATCTTATAATATCTATTACCTACTTTTCCTCCTTCCCCCATTCTCAGGCCCTTGTTACCTGTACTGTTTTTTCCTGGATATTTTAACTAGCTTCCTGTGGCAGAGGCTTGTAACTACATACTATTTTCCAGTTATTCCTTAATAATAGAACCCCAGATTTATCTTGAGTGGCAATGTACCCAGCTAGTAAAATCATTTCCTAGCCTCTCTTGTAGCTAGGCATGTCCATGTGATGAAGTTTTTTTGCCAATGAACTTAACTCTCATGAACTCCAGTGAAGATGGAATCAAAAATGATACAGAAGACTTTCTGGAAGACTTCCTGAAATCTGCTAGGAATTGAGCCCATTTTGCCCTCCTCCATCCTCCTTCCCGCTGCATATAGAATGGTAGTAATGGTCAGTGTGCCACTAGCCATCTTGGAAATCAGCACTAATGTGATGAAAGAACTGTAGACACCAGATGACCATGAATCCATCATACTGGCTAGTCCTACTGCTGACTTCTCTGACTTGTTTTACTTGAAATAAAAGCAAACTATGGAGTTACATTGGCAAATGGATGGCAGGCTCAAACAGATTCACTGAGAACAGTTTAATGAAGGGACTCCGCAAGGGTGTGAGCAGGGTTAAGGCAAATCAACAAGGGACAGCAAAGCATCCTGCTTTAGCTGCAGCAAGGAAACCTGTTTGCCCCTGGGCCAAGAGACAAGAGAGAGAGCAGATCCCAGGTTCCTGATAGGAGTTCCTTATGGCCTTCAAGGTAACACTCCCAGCAGGGAGGGACTCAGGATAATAATCACTCTGGCCTGGTTCTCTACCTGCACTCATTTCTCCTGCTGTGTTTCTTATGGCCAAAATCAATAATAAGTTACAGGGTAAAAGTGGCCTGTTTAAATGGTCCATAAAATTTAGCCATTAGAAGCACAAGGCAGGGTAGAGAAGGATAGAAAGCAAATCTGGAGAAACAAAGAGAAAATGTCCAGCACAATTGCCTAATTACCTTCCTGCTTTCAAGCTCTCCTTCGCCCTCCACACCGTCCCCCCAAATATTCACCCACATTTTACTATTATCTTCTTTTTTTTTTTCTTGTGATAACAGATCAATTTTAATGCTAGCACCTGAAGCTATACAAGGGTATGCTCTATAAACTTCATGGGACTGTTGTACACACTTGATAAAGTGACAACTGTGCAATACCACTTAGCATCTCAAAATCAGGAACATACTATTGAATTGCTTAAACACAATCCACAGAATTAAAAACAAAATCAGATGCCATCCACAGTTATACTAATTGTCCATTAAAAGCTTACACTTAATACTTGATATAACAATCAATATCTAGCAGGGAATATTAAAAGTGATTTCAGAGTCTCATCCTGTTGTACTCTATTGGGAAGGTTTCTTGAGTAGATATGTAACTGGCCAAAGATGGGTACAACCAAGACCAGACCAGCAAGTAAAAGTTCTACCACAGTTTCTATAGTTTCCACTTGTTTTTCTTTGTCAGTTAAAAGTGAACAGTGAGAATTAAATACTTATCTTTACATATACACAAGGTATGCTGTGAAAGCATATCTGCTTACAAACATATAAAAATACTTGTTAACTAGTTTGATAAGAAAATAATGTATAAAAAGTATATAGCAAAAACATTAATCATCTCTGACCCCAGAAAGATCAATTCCATATTTTATATTACATCAAACAAAAACAGTTTTAGTTTTTCGAATCCCTTATCCAGAAATACTTGAAAAGGAAGACAGAAACTATTTTTACCTTTAGCATGGCTGTGAAAAAGAGTTAAATTAAAAAAATCAAGTACACTGAAATGTTTTAAGTCCTGAATGAGTCCAAATATTTGACCACGTAGAATATTATCATCTTCAAGAGTAGGAGTAATAACACAGGCTTTTATGAGCAGTTTTTAATCCATAAATACAATAGGCATTTTGGTATTTTGGCCACCAGAAAACAAAAGCTGTAGTATCAGTAAAGGTCTGAGATGTTTCACTTTTGTAGATTCAATTCAGTGTATTTAAGGTTAACAAAGGCTGACATTGAAATTTATAAAGATAGGCAAAAATTCACATTAAAAAAAAATCCCTATACTTCTATTTAGAGTAACTGTAGGCAGTATGATTCCAAAAGTTAAAAATTATTTCGCAACCTGTGGCTTCGGCTTGGCAAACAGCTTAGATTCCAAAACTGATTCATCTCTATTAAAATGTAAGCACTTAAAAAAAGAGCATGTCTGTGTATATAGACACGTATTTTAAAGGAATCAGATAATCTTTGAAGCAGCCTTAGTGTTTCCTTTAAATTTGTCTGGAAATGACCATTGTATTAGCTTCACGGAAAGGACTGACTAGCCAGCTTCTTGGTCTAAGGCTAACATGGTGATCATTTGTCTAAGGCTAGAAAGGTACCAAATAAGATGTAAACTGAGGAGAGGAAGAGGAGATGAGGGCTTTTCCTGGCAGTTGGTAGCTAAAATTGAAAGGATTCTAGAAAATGACACAATGGCAGCCTTTCTTGTCTTTTTCTTTCCGTGTCTGTTCTGGTGAAGGAGGACATTCCTGCTCTTGAAATTTCCTGATAACCCGGACAAGTTCATGGAAAGCTTGATCTACATTCATCCTAATCTTTGCTGATGCCTCCATGTATGTGCTAACTGTTGTCCTTCTTCCTGTGTTACCTGTCTTTGATGATCCAGATCTGCTTTATTACCAATTAAAATCATTGGAAACTCATCGCGATCCTTTACTCTGAGAATTTGTCTTTGAAACTTATAGATTTCTTCAAAACTGCCTCTATCTGTGACTGAAAAGACCAACAGGGAGCCCTCGCCAGCCCTCATACATTGTTCTCTCATGGCTCCAAACTCTTCTTGTCCTGCTGTATCCAAAATATCTAGCCGCGCTGCTCTGTCATCTATCACACACTGCTTTGTGTAAGAATCTTCAATGGTTGGATCATAATCTGTTACAAAATAGGACTGGATGAACTGGATGGTGAGCGCCGACTTCCCCACGCCGCCACCGCCGACCACCACGAGCCGGTACTTCTCCTGGCCGGAGCCGTCCCGCCAGCCGGCCGCGGCCATGGGGACGCCACAGAGCCCAGCCTGACCGTGCCAAGCCGCCGCTGCCGCCCGCCCTAGGCCCGGCTCCGGGGACGTGTGCGGCCGGCGGGCAGCGGGCGAGCGGCCGGGCGGGGGTCGCGGGTAGCGGGAGGTGTCGGGAGGGCAGGTCCGCGCGGCGGCGCGGCGCCAGGAGCTGACTGGGTACCGCCCGAGGTGCGGAGCTACTATTATCTTCTTGAAGTAGAAACCAATGTTATCATTTTCCTCCTTTGCTAAAAATTCTTCAGGATATACTACTGGTCTAACAAACCAAGTCCAAACTCCTTAACTGAGTATGTAAGGATAACACCATCTTGCTACAGTCTACTTTTCCAAACTGATTTGTCTGCAGTTTCCTACATGTATCATATGCTGCAATGAAACCATAAGAATCACCATTCCAAACACAGCCTGGTCTTTCCCATTTCCTCTGCCTGTGTTCTTCTTAGCTTAAAGGGCAGGACACTGCTTTCTTACTTTATTACCTTAACACCCTCAACCTATTTTAAGACATAGCTCGAAGTGTCATGTACTCTAAGAACACTTTCTGACACCCTGAGATAGGTCTTCCCTCTCCTTTTGAATGTTAGCACTTTGTTTCTATCCCTCATATTGATGGCCACATACTAATTCCCTCCTCTACTTCCCACAAAGTGCTCTGTCTCGATAAATGGCCTCTTCATCCCGTTAGTCACCCAAGCTACCACTTTGGAGTCATCCTTGGCTCTTTTTTCTTTCCACTTCTTATATCCAGCAAATCCAAGTTCCTGTATCTTCAACATATATCCTGAATTTAACCCCACTACCACCTATCCTAGCCAACCGCCATCCAGTTCTTGCTGTGTTATTGCAATGGTTGCTTTCTCATCAGCCCTTACCTACTACTACTCTCTTATCGACATGACAGCAAGCACCGTTCTTTTAAAATCTAAGTGAGAGCATGTCACACCTCCACTCAACATCCTCCACTGGCTTCTCATCTCATCCAGAATAAAAGCCAGAGGCCTTCCAATATCCTACTAGCCCCTGTCTAATACAATATGATCCTCCATGTCCCCACTGTTTCACATACCACCTCTCTTACTTGATACATAATTCCTTTCTCACTTACTCCATTCCAGTGATGTTTGTCCCTTGCTGTTGCTACAGTCATCACACCTATGTCCTTCTTAAGTCCTTTGCACTTGCTGTGACATAAACATTGCTACCCACCCTTTGCCCCTGACTCCCCAAAGTCCATTGTGTCATTCTTACACCTTTGAATCCTCATAGCTTAGCACCCACTTATGAGTGAGAACATATGATGTTTGGCTTTCCATTCCAGAGTTACTTTACTTAGAAAAATAGTCTCCAATCCCATTCAGGTTGCTGCCGATGCCATTAATTCATTCCTTTTTATGGCTGAGTAGTATTCCATTGTATATAGCACAGTTTCTTTATTCATTTGTTGATTTGTGGGCATTTGGGTTGGTTTCACATTTTCGCAATTGTGAATTGTGCTTCTATAAACGTGCATGTACAAGTATCTTTTTCATATAACACTTCTTTTCCTCTGGGTAGATACCCAGTAGTGGGATTGCTGGATCAAATGGTAGTTCTACTTTTAGTTCTTTAAGGAATCTCCACATTGTTTTCCATAGTGTAGAAGTGTTCCCTTTTCACCATATCCACACCAACATCTATTATTTTTTTGAGTTTTTTAATATGGCCATTTTTTTCAGGAGTAAGGTGGTATCACACTGTGGTTTTGATTTGCATTTCCCTGATCATTAGTGATGTTGAGCATTTTTTCATATGTTTGTTGGCCATTTGTATATCTTCTTTTGAGAATTGTCTATTCATGTCCTCAGCCCACTTTCTAATGGGATTGTTTGTTTTTTCTTGTTGATTTGGTTGAGTTCATTGTCAATTCTGGATATTAGTCCTTTGTCAAATGGATAGGTTATAAAGATTTTTCTCCCACTCTGTGAGTTGTCTGTTTACTCTGCTGTCTGTTCCTTTTGCCATGCAAAAGCTCTTTAGTTTAATTAAGCCCCAGGTATTTATCTTTGTTTTTACTGTATTTGCTTTTGGGTTCTTGGTCATGAAATCCTTGCCTAAGCCAATGTCTAGAAGGGTTTTTCTGAGGTTATCTTATAGAATTTTTATAGTTTCAGGTCTTAGTTTCAAGTCCATGATCCATCTTGAATTGATTTTTGTATTAGGTGAGAAATGGGGATCCAGTTTTATTCTCCTACATGTGGCTAGCCAATTACTCCAGCACTATTTGTTGAATAGGGTGTCTTTCCCCCACTTTATGTTTTTGTATGCTTCGTCAAGGATCAGTTGGCTGTAAGCATTTGTGTTTATTCCCCAGGTATCCATTTGCTGCCTTTTTTCTTTTTCTTTTTCTTTTCATTTTTTTAGAGACAGGGTCTTGCTCTGTCACCCAGGCTGGAATGAAGTGGTGTGGTCACAGCCCATTGCAGTCTAGAATAACTGGGCTTAAGCAATCTTCCTGCCTCACCCACCTAAGTAGCAGGGACTACAGGTACATACCACCACGTCCAGCTAATTTTTTTTTTTTTTTTTTTTTTTTTTTTTTTTTTTGGCAGGGTCAGGGGAGAGAGAGTCTTGCTCTGTCACACAATCTCAGCTCACTGCAACCTCTGCCTATGGGTTCAAGTGATTCTCCTGCCTCAGCCTCGTGAGTAGCTGGGATTAGTGGTGTGTGCCACCACACCCAGCTAATTTTTGTATTTTTAGTAGAGATGAAGTTTCACCATGTTGGCTAGGTTAGTCTTGAACTCCTGACCTCAGGTGATCTGCCCACCTCGACCTCCCAAAGTGCTGGGATTATGGGTGTTAGCCACTGTGCCTGGCTGCCCAGCTAATTTTTTTAAAGTTTTTTTTGGTAGATACAGGGTCTTGCTATGTTGCCCAGGCTGGTCTCAAACTCCTGGCTTTAAGCAATCTTCACACCTCAGCTTCCCAATGTACTGGGAACCATCTCACCTGTTTGAGAATATGTCTATTACCCTCTCTTATCCCTCATTGTCCAGAGACTCTAGAGATTTATTTACATCTCATGCACTCATGCTGTTTTTTCTTATTAGCTCATGATACTGTCATTTGAAGACTTGTTCTGTCAATTTGACATACGCTGATGGCAAGGCCCCAGCTTACCACTTTTTAGCTTATATCTAGGCTCAGATAATTTTTCTTAAAAATACTGCTGTGTCAGAATGCCTGGGTCCATGGAAGTTTACAGCATCATCCACACTCTGTGGCTGTGTTCTGTACTAGTCCACCTCATGGTGATTTGCATACTTGCCACTCATGGTGATTCCTTGTGCTACTCCTGTAATTGGTCTTCCTAATTGTTGTACTCTGTACCACAGGGGTCCCCAACCCCCAGGCCACGGTACTGGCCCCATCCCCCAGGACTGTTCTGTAGCCTAATAGGAAACAGGCCACACAGCAGGAGATAAGTGGTGGGTGAGTGACTTCATCTGTATTTACAGCTACTCCTCATTGCTTACATTACAGCCTGAGCTCCACCACCTGTCAGATCAGCGGTGGCATTAGATTCTCATAGGAGCACAGACCCTATTATGAAGTGCACATGCAAAGGATCTAGGTTGCATGCTTTTTATGATAATCTAATGCCTGACGATCTGTCACTATCTTCCACCACCCCTAGATGGGACCATCTAGTTGCAAGAAAACAATCTCAGGGATGTCACTGATTCTACAATATGGTGAGTTGTATAATTATTTCATTATATATTACAATGTAATAATAATAGAAATAAAGTACACTATACAAACAATGCACTTGAATTATCTCAAAACCATTTCCTTGTCCTGGTCCATGGAAAAACTGCCTTCCATGAATCCAGTCCTTGGTGCTAAAAAGGTTAGGGACCGTTGCTGTACAATATTATCTTTCTGGGCTCTCCATTAAAAGTCCCAAATGCCAATTTCCCCAGCTATATTCACCCTAACTTGTATAACTAACAGACAATTTTATTTAGGTATTTTATCACAGAGTAAAAATCTACCTAAAAGTAAAATATAATATCTACCATTAAACACAGAGATACCAACTTTATTTTTAAGCACAGAACTCTATTTCAACTCTGACTTAACTGTCACTTTATTTCTATGTATTAATACCTATCTTATGTTTCTTTATTATTTGTTTGACTTCTCATTAGAATTCAGATTCCTTAAAGGCATGTTCCCTATTATTTATCTTTAGATCCTCAGCCCTAAATACTAAGTAAATAACTGATAAAATAGGACAAAGAGAAGGAAGTTTTTTTTTTTTCATAGCCAGATAATTTTGGTTTTCTGCTATAACTATCATTAGATAGAACATTTTACTTTATAAAAGCAAAATGGATTACTGTTAATAATCAGAGAAAACCTCAGAAGCTGATTGGTGATTATCTTTTGTACATTTTGAGAATCATTGGTAGGCATTAGTGTACCTACAAAGCAAAATGTGCTGTACTAAGTGCTGATGTTATAAGCTCCCTAGAATGTCACTGTCTCCTGCCATTTACCATCTCACAATAATCATCATACTTCAATATTCCATTTTTATTCCCTTTAGCCCTTCATTTAGAAGTTGTAAAAATTATATTTATAATGTAATATAAAACATATTATAATATAAAAATTATATATTTAAATATGTAAAATTAGATATACTTCTGGTAACAAAAGTGTTACATGCCCATTGTAAAATATTTAAACAATGTAGAATATTTACACAAAAAGTGTTACTTTTTTATAATCCCACCCCCAAGAAATAATTACAAACTTTCCTATGATGTACACTCTTCTGGATTTTTCAAATATACATTCAAATACCTATATCATGTATTTTACAAAAATGTGCTCATTTTGGGTATGTTTGGCAGTTTTTATCACTTCGGTAGTTACCTTTCTTTGTCAGCATGTATAGATATAACTTTTTATGTTAATAATTATATAATTTCCATAGATATGTATGTTTTTTAATTGGCTTGCAATTGATTAACAATTAAGTGGTTTCTATTTTTTACTGTGAAAACAAGGTTGCAATGAATACCTATGCAGATAACTCTTTCTACATTTGTGCAACTTTTTCTCAAAAAAATTCTTAGAA